TAGTGTTTGCAGTGGTAAGGCAGGCTTCTCGGAGCCTCGCTCCTCTTACCACATTGATCTTAGTTATTGCAGTGGTAAGGCAGGCTTCTCGGAGCCTCGCTCCTCTTACCACATTCATCTTAGTTATTGTAGTGGTACGGCAGGCTTCTCAGAGCCTCGCTCCTCTTACCACATTGATCTTTTGTTATTGCAGTGGTTAGGCAGGCTTCTCGGAGCCTCGCTCCTCTTACCACATTGAACTTAGTTATTATAGTGGTAAGGCAGGCTTCTCGGGGCCTCGCTCCTCGTACCACACTGTTCTTAGTTATTACAGTGGTAAGGGAGGCTTCTCGGAGCCTCGCTCCTCTTACCACCTTGATCTTAGTTATTATAGTTGTAAGGCAGGCTTCTCGGAGCCTCGCTTCTCTTACCACACTGATCTTTGTCAGTATAGTGATAAGGCAGGCTTCTCAGAGCTTCGCTGCTCTTATCACATTGTTCTTTATCAGGATAGTGATAAGGCGGGCTTCTTGGAGCCTCGCTACTCTTATCACATTGTTAGAGACATTATTGCGACAAGTCGGTCGTTGCTTCTGACGTCACTTGAGCCCTGGGTCATTCGGAAGCCTTTAAGATTAAGCGGGTAGGCCATACGAGACTCTGAACCCCATGACTTAAATTCGTCCGCCTGATCCCCGGTTGTGTTAACTTTGAATTTTTGAGAGTATGTAAGCATAGGTCAAGCGTTAGTTGATGCAGTCTATCATTACAATATCTGATCATAGCATGCACAAGTCTTCAATCTACTGCGAACCCCTTCCCTTATCATTGGTTAGGAGGTCCATTTAAGCAAGGGAAAACTGCACGGAGTCGATCCCCCCGCGGCCACATCCCCTTCAAAGAAACATTCACATAGCGAGACAGTCACTTGGGACTTCTCGCTCTCGCTATGTTTATCAGCAACAGTTAGTCATACTCAGTCAGATTCATTTCACACAATCATCCCTTCCTTCAAACTTTGCTCTACCTTATAAAGACACTTTCCCCTTTCCTCTCGGCCCGAGTTTGGTCATAAAGATCCTGACTCTAGTAAAGCACAGGCATTTGCCCGAAGGTTATAGATTTAGGGTTTAGGTCTAGGGTTTAAAGCTTAGGCAGTAGTGTGCACACCTCGATGTTCCCTGCCTCCAGAGTTCCTCTTGAACTCCGGCAGAGCTCCCGCAACCGCCCTGTCACGTGGACACGTCTAAATTGATCAAGTACGGAGTAGGAGTCTCTTTTGTTTGAGATTTGATTTTCAGCAAGCCATTTGGAACATCATTTTCACTTTTCGCCGCTTGAAAAGGATTGGTGAGTGAGGGATTAGATATAAGAAAAGCGGAGGAGGATGAAGGAGGTAGAAACCATCATGCTTGACGACGATCCTCCCCTCTCTGCTGCCTCGCACCCTTCCCATCTCTGACTCTCATCCTAGCATGTAATGTCAAATGATAATAATAATAACAATAATAATAATAATAATAATAATAATAATAGTAATAGTAATAATGATAATAACAAGGAATACAAATGTGAATAATATTCAAACCCGAGTTGCAAGATCACACGTATGTCTGAGTAGTTGTATACAAGCAGCGAGCACCATAGTACTGACATTCGGCCAAACAGAGCAATTTAATGAAGTAGTGAGCCCAATGCTCAAGCCCTCAGGCCTATACCAACCCAGTAACCATGTTCATTTTCTTTGTCCGACGCCCAATGCCCCAGCTTACTCTACTCCATTATTTTACCTACAGTTGTGCTCACGCAACAACTTCACGTCGATCCCAGATTCCATGGTGTCAATACATTTCGCCGACCTTTTATGTACCCTAGTGCCATTTTTCCCTTTTCCTCTCTCTTTGCCTCCCTCGCTGTATGTGTGTCTCCCTACCTTTGTGTCACCGTGTATTCACAGTCTGCGCATGGCTGTGTAGGTGACCGCACATTGTGTGTCACCTTGCTTGTGTGACTATCACGGTGTTACTGAGTGTCACAGTTGGTGTGCGATCGTGCAGGTGTACAGAGTACCGAGTGTCAAGTGTGGAGTATCCAAGGTGATCCTATGTGCATGAACAAAAAGTTGTTAGGCGTTGTCGCGCCATAGCCATCTGAAGTGAACTCGTAATCGATATGTGTCATCGTCAGCCATATCTATGAGTTATGTGTTTGGTGGTCCATCACCAGCGCGATGTGTCGCCCTGCTCCCATGCATGTGTAAGTGAGAAGAGAGCAAGCGTGATTGCAATAATAATAATAATAATAATAATAATAATAATAATAATAATAATAATAATAGCGAACTCTAGAATCCAACAGCATCATAAATATGTGATCAGATAGACGCGACCTCACCCCAAATGCAGAATTGCACTACGAGTCTCATCAAATAAGAGCACAACAAAATTCATACTTGACAACGTAGGCATAGCCTCATCATCATCAACATAGAGCCAATGCATAGTTTTGCCGATGTCTGTTTATTTGCCCAATGGTCTCTGTTTTGTTTACTTGTTCATGTCAGTCTGCTTGCCAGCTTCAGACAGTTTGTATGTTTTGTCTGTTTCAGTCAGTCTGTTTGTCTGACTGTCTTTCTGTCTGTTTTAGATTATCTGTTTGTTTCGCTTGTCAGTCGTAGGTCTTTGTAGATATAGGAGCTCGACTTATAGGTTAGCAGTGCAACTGCACTGAGGCAGCGGTACACCCCCATGCAGTCAGCGGTACAGTCCCAGTCAGTCCGGGTTCAGTCAAGCGAGTTTCGTATGGGACTGAGGGCACTCAGGGCCGTTAGAACGGCAGGCCAAACAAGAGTCTAATTCAAGATGCGGCGCCAAGTCATTAATTTATCCCTACCTAAGTCATGCGGAAGTGCTGCTGCAGTAGCTTGTGTAACGTGGTTTGCAGATGCCCAGAGAGTGCAGTGACGTGTGACTGTCCGTGTGTCAGTGCATCGAAGTATTGTTGCGTGTCGATTTCACTCTTGTCGGTCTGTCTGTTTGTCTGTTTGTCCGTCTATCTGTCTGTCCGTCTGTTTGTCTGTTTTATCCGTCGTTCTATTTTATCTGTCTTTCTGTGCGTGTGCGTGTGCGTGTAGCAAGTAGTATGTGGGATACCCTGGGTGATCCTGCGTACGAGAACAGAGAGTTGC